TAGAAGCTGCCGTGGCCCTGGCTGCGAGGCCCAGGCCTGATCCATCTTGCCAGCCAGGGACTCACCACAACAACAGGAGAAGGACCTGGTGGCCCTGGCATTTGCTTCTGATCTCCCCTGGCCAGGCGTTTGTCAGGTGGATGATGAAGAATGGGTGCCTAGCAAGTAGCAGGTCACCGCTGCCCAGAGGCCCTTGCTGAATTGCAGTTCAGAGCTCAGCTGCCTGGGGCTGCAGATCAACATGAAGGGGATTAATCTCTCTTGTAGCAGCTGCCTGCCCAGGAGAGGGAGGGGCCGTAAGAGGGCCTGCGGGGAGACTCAGCGCCCACTCTGCCCTGGCGTCCTCTCCGGCATAGCCTTCCTACCTCCCACTTCCACCCCTGGTCTTCCCAGGGAAACCACTCCCTTTGACAGGGTGGATTTTTGGGGGTGCCTCCTCCTTGCTCACTGGGGAGAGTTTGGGACTTCTGGGGGGGGTCTCCCTTAAAGTCCCAAAGTTTAGAAAAATCAGAGGCCTGTGCCAGGGGCACCCTGTCTCTGGAAAGGAGATCAGGCCTGTAAGAGTAGGGACCATGCATTCCAGGCCTCTAGCTCCTCTGATGGGGAAACCAAGTACAGGGACGTGGGGGCCCTGCCCCAGGCCACCCAGCCAGGGAGTGCCAGTCAGAACCGAGAGGGGCCTCCTGCCCTCCACCCCCACCCCAGGCTCTTTCTCTGTCCTCACTGCCCCGCGTAGGAGCTTCCCACCTGCAGAGGGCTGCAGAGGCTGGGTGAGATTGGACAGTGAACTAGGGGAGAGGCCAGCTGATGGGCTCACCAGCTAATACTCCTGCCCTGCCCTGGGCCTTGTAACCTCCTTCTCCTGCTCATGGCTGTGAGAAAAGGCCAAGGCACAGCAGGCTCAGGGGAAGGCCCCATGGCCCCAGCATCCAGGGCCAGTATGTGCCTGGGGTGTCCAGAAAACACTCTCGGGGGAGAGGGAGCTGGTGTAAGAGCACTGCTGGAGCAGGGTAGAGCTCTCTGTCCCTTTCCCCAGACTGCGAAGCTGGTCAAGTTTTCCTGGGGCCCTCTGAGTCTCCACCCTATATCTGTTCCCCTACTTGCCACTCTCCTCACCCCCCCCAGCACCGGGCGTGCCCACCTACTAGGCCAGTGACTTTCAACTCTGGCTCCACATTAAATTCACCTGGGGAGGTTTAAAAACCACCAATGCCCCGTCAATTAAAACAGAATCTCTGGGGCCAGCCGAGTGGCTCAGTTGGTTAAGAGCTCGCTCAAGAGTTTGAGCTCTGAGCAACAGCAGTTCGAGTCCCGGCCCGAGCTGAGCAGCCGCTGAGCTGCCAACAGGTGGCAGGATGGCTCAGCTAAAAAAACAAACAAACAAACAAACAAAAAAACCACAACAGAATCTCTGCTGCTAGGGTTGAGAAGCACCATTCAGGAAACCAACCTCTCTCCCTTGCCACTACACAAATGTCCCTGCCTAACATCTCTGGCCCTCTCAGGGTCTTGTTCATGATGTCGATGAACTCAAACTATGGGGTTAGAGGCTTTATTGTTCCCCCAAGCGCTGGGGAAGGTGTGCAGATCACATATGGTCTCTACCTTCCAGCAGAAGTGAGGGCTCAAGACCACACAGCAAAGAATTAACCCAGAGTAGGGCAGCAATACACCTGAGGGATATGCAAGCAGAATGAGAAGAGCTCAGCGCTTTCTCGGGAAACCAGGGCACGCGGAAGACCATACAAGAGGTTCCTTCTCCCTGCAAAGGGCCCCCAGCCTTTGGCAAGACTGAGTTGAAAACACGTTTAAAAAGGATTCATAGTAAGACACATGCTCTCTCTGGTGGTAATAATGGGAATTGCATGCCCTCGTGCTAAGACTATTTTTGTTGCTGTTGTGTGATTCAGAGTAAATCATACAATCAATTCTCAGGTTTGGTTGTTCTTTGTGACTCAATTTGTGTACGAATTGTGGAAAATCCCAAAGTGAAATGAAAGTTCAGTAGCTCCCAGTCCATGTGACCTGCATGGAAAGGGAAGGGGAAGTGATCAGAAGGGCAGGGACCAGGAAAAGGTCACAGATCTCAGCATGCCACCGGGATCTGTGGTTCTCAGCACTGGCTGTTCTCCAGAGTCACCTGGGAGTGTGGTAAGCATCAGCTTACGTGGGCCCGTCCCAAAAGTGATAATTAATAGGTCTGGAGGGGGCTGGTTTGAACAGCACCGCAGGTTCTCCAGATAAATAACCTGGGACCTGATGGAGCCTCACGTTTTATGGGATTGGAGGGCTTGCAGCAGAGGCAGAGAGGGGAAGTGACTCACCCAGGGCCATTTCTCCAGAAGAGCAGCTGGAATTCCCCCTCTGAGTTGGCAGGCTCAGGGCCTGTATATAGAACATTTTAGAAGTGTGACTCCTCTCCACTTCTCCCCAGGTGGGCCACAGTCCTGGAGTACCCCCTCTTCCAGTTTCCATTGATGCTATATCCAAAAAGTTTCAGGAGCTCCCAAAAGCGCCCCCTGGCTGGACCTGCCCCATTCCTGTACATGTCTCACCGGCGTTCACAGCTCAACTGTGTGCCCCATCTCGTGCGCAGAAATACTGAATTCTTTCTAGGGGTTTGGCCTATCACATTCTTGTTTTCATCAGTCAGCCCACATTCAGAGCACATTCTGAAAAATAAGGACTGTATATTTTATGCTCTAAGGACTTTCTGTGCTCAAGTCTTCTGTGATTCTGTGAAGGTTGGTGGTCTTCAGGGCCTGGGCAGTGGATTAAAAAGTTCAATTCTCAAGCAGAATGGTGGCTTACTCTGCCTCTGTCCCCCAAACACACGCTGTTCATTTTAAACTCCACTAACTTACTGCTGTCTTGGGTTCCCCTTCCAGTTCTCCACCCCGCTTCGGAGCCCTGCAGACCCAGATAAGGAAACCAGACACTAGATGGTGCCATGATCACACCATCCCATCCTGCCTCCTGGAAGGGAGGGAGAAGGCAGAAACTAGTGCAGGAGAGCATGCTCTGCTGCCAGCGGGTCACAGGCATTAGGAAGTCAAAGCACACGTGAGAGAGCCAGCCTGATACCATCTTGAGTTGAAGTTGTCCTGGGTGGGCGCCTGTTGGAATGGACAGGGGACTGGAAGGAATGGTAATAAGAGCTCACCCTCACTCCCTGGCCCCTGGCCCTGGGATGAACTAAGTCAGCACCCAAATGGATGGATGAGAGTCGGCCTCGCTGAAGTCTCCTGGCCCCAAGAGTGGAAAGGGGATGGCCTGAGCTTAGCACCAAAGTCAAGGTGGGTAGGGAGAGAGCATATCCTGAAGCCTGCACCCCGACCACCCATCCAGACACATTGGTGCACTTGGGAAGGTGGCAGAGCACAGAATATGACCATCAACTGCTACACCTTTGGCAGCCCAGGTCTATCCACACCAACTCCCAAGACGGTAGCTCCAACAGGCTGCACCCAAGGGCTAGACAGACGCCCAAGCAGTACCCAACAGACCCGAGGGCTTTGAACCTGTGACCTTCGGACTCCCAGCTTTCTCTCTGCCTGGTGTTTAGAAGACAGGCTGAGTCCTCTGTTTAGAAGCTCTTGGGAATTCAGGGGTGGAGGGCTGGGGAAGAAGTGAGGCCTACAGATGACGATACTGAACTTGAGCTAATAGTCATGGGCACCTGGACAATTAATGGAAAAGCAAGAGACCAGGCTGTATTGTACTCCAACTTGGAGGAGTGGGTAATGGTAGTTATAGGAGGGAGGGAGGGAAGGAGGCAGACCATGGAAGGAGCCATCTCTGAGGCCAGCTTTATTATTAGAAAGAGGTGGTATGGGGTGGGAGGAGGTGATGGCCACCCAAGGGTCACATGAAGCCTGGCACTTCCTTCAGCCCGAGGGCCTGGCAGTGCTGGGGACAATGGTGTGCAGCTCAGGGAAGGCTTCTCAACTGGCCCCAGGGCAGAAGTGGCACAGCTGACTCTGAAAAGACAAAGGCAGGATTTGGGTTGTGATGGGGGCAGAGGCGGGGATTTTCATTTCATTCCTTATTCATCTTACCTTTCTCTGGGACATCTCTATAGCCTCCCTTTGGCCACACATACTATACCAGGCACTTGGCCATCATTTAAAACCACAGGATGGGGCCGGCCGAGTGGCGCGTTGGTTAAGAGTTGGCTTGGGATGCCAGCTCTGAGCAGCAGGGCCCCGGTTCAGATCCCACATGAGGGCCAGTGGTGCTGTGCCCTCTACAGCTAAGATGGTGAACAACAGCTCAACCTGGAGCTGGGCTGCTGTGAGTTGCAGGCAACGGTGTAGGCTGCAACCCCTGCTGCAGTGGGCTGCCATAAACTACCGTAAGTGGCTGGCAGCCAGCATGAGCTGCAGTGAGCCACTGTGAGTGGCCATCCAATGGCCAGCGAGCAACTGCCTCACCTGGGAAGGATAATACCACCATGGGCCAGTGAAGTGACGCCCTCGACAACTAGTAAGAACAAAAGGACAGCAACTTGTCTGTTCCCCTTCCCCGATCCCCCAATGCTCTTCCCCTCCCCCCAACTCCCCAATAAAATCTTTAAAAAATAAAATAATAAAATAAAATAAAAACACAGGATGGGTGACAGAATTCCTGGCTGATGAATAAAGACCCTAAGATTCTTCCAGGCCCAGTCCCAAGTTCTTCCTTATTTCTCTACAGCCATTTCTGACTGTACCCCTTACCACCCCCTCCCAAACGTACCTGTCATTATAGCTCATCTTCACCAACTGACCTGGGATGAGTAAGGAAAAAAGACAGGTAAGAGGTCAATAGGGAAGGTGGTAAGTCTAGGGTCCCTGAGGTTACAGACCTCTCCTCACAGGCCTCAGAGACCAAAATCCTCAGCCTGCCCCTCCTTTCCCCTGCCCCCACCCACCTTGGTTAGCTACCCTAGACAGGCACTCACCGATGCTTCTTCTTGCCCCCACAGCGAAGTCTTTTGCCTTGAAGAGAGAAAAGAGGTTAGTTTTTATCGACCTCTCACTTCCAAGGAGACCTACTCTGCCCTGAAGGACTCAGCTCTGTAGTCCGTCCTCCCTACCTTCTGCCAGCACAGAGGCCCTAGGGTGTGGCTTGGAGGCCACAGTTGACTGTGTCTCTCTGTGTATAGGGCTGGGCCCTAAGCATTCAGAAGCCCAAGTCAATCAGTCAGTTGGTCAATAGACATTGACTGCAAGGTAGAACCTCAGAGGACTGTGATCCTCACCACTGAGAGTGGCGGCCAAGCCTGGGCCTCCTGCACAGTGCTGGGCATGTAGTAGCTGCTCAATAAGCTCTTGAAGGACGGCAGTAAGTCCAGAGCCAAGATCCCTGTTCACTCCCGTCTGCCTCCACACCTGTGTGCTCAACTGCTACACAGCGCCTCCCTGAAGGAGCTTCTGGGAGAACTGGGGGGACCAAACATGCTGCAGATTTAAACATGTAAGCATTTATTAAGCTCCTGCTATATGCCTGCTGAGGCTGGGGGATATACAAGGACCCTTCTGTCCCCTCAGAACACACCATGCCTACACTGGATCCTTCTAAGTGCTTTCTTGGTTTCCATGTCTTTGGATGCTAGCCCTCACCTATGAGGTAAGTGAGGTTATCCCTCTTTAACAGATGAGCAAACTGAGGCCCAGGGAGTTGGGACCCACACTAAACTAACAGCAGGGCCGAAAACCTCTGGTTCCCAGCTACGCTTGCTTTCCAGCAGCAGGTGGGGAATGGGATGCAGGGTGAACACTCCTGGGTTCTGCTGAATGGACTGTGCTTCTGATTGGCTGTGGAAACTTGAGCAAGTTCCTTTACCTCTCAGAGTGGGTCTGATTTTTCATCTGGAAAATGGTGGCAGTCATGGCTATCCCTCAGTGTTGCTGAGAGGGCTAAATGGGCTGAGATTTAGATCAAGCCAAGAAAGTACCCAGATCTGGGGGAGTGGGGTGTCCAGTAGAGGTTAGTTCTCTCCCCTTATCTGACCCCCCACATTTACACTGGAGCTTCTCGGGATCAGAGGGAGCCAGCCCCCACCTCTTGGCAGGTCTTCCCGGGTCCACTGGAAGGCACGCATGAGAAAGAGGCAACTTCCTTCGTGTGGTCCAAGGACCAAGTAAGAAAATGCCCCAAGCTGCCTCTCACCAGCAGGGCATCCCTCAGCTCCCATATCCAGCATGGGGGAGGGGAGGGGAACAGAACGACTCACGCCTCACTTACAGGTTCCTGAGAAGGGGTGAGAGGGCTCTCCCCCACCCCCACCTAGGAAGCCGGAGTGCCCAGCTGCCTTGAGAAGAGATGTGCACCCATCCAGCACCCCTCTTCCAACATCAGACCCCCCCACACACTTACTGAGAATGATGATGAGCCCCACGACGAAGGCCAACCCAGCAAAGATCAGGCCCCCATTGCGGACAGTCTCATAGTCTGAGGAAGGAGAGGACAAGGAGGTGGGGTGGGTCATTCAGCCACCCTTCCTCACAGCCCACACTCGCAGCAGCCCCACGATAACTGGGGAAGAGGGGGTCGCATGATCCAGAGCTGGGAGAGGCCAGAAACCAATTGGGGGCACAGGAAGACAGGCTTAGGAAGGGTGGGAGGAGGGGCCCAGCAGGCTTACCATAGTAGAATGGGTCCACATCCCCCTTGGGGCTACCACCTGAGGAGAGAGCCAGAGACTGGGTGAAGGGCAAGGCACAGACAGCAGGGTGCTCTAGCCACAGAAACAGGAGGGTCCTTCTTATCCCAGCACCCTCCAGGGTCCAAGTGGGCAGAAGGAGGCTGGTGATGAGAGACCCCTGGAAGAGGAGGTTGGTGGGTCTGCAAAACCCACTGCCATTGCGGGTATCTGCCCTAGACCGTTTCAAACACAGTCAACGTGGGACCAAATACGAAGCATCCAAAGCAGGGAGCCATGCTGCCTGTGGGCCTCTGGCAACTCTGGGAGGGGTTGGTTCTTTCTCCTTCTTGCTTTATATAAAATTAAGAAAAGGCCAAAAAGAAATCTCCCATTAAACTCGCCAGCAGCCTCTCCCCATACGACTAATATTAGCAAATATTCGTGAGATGAATGATGAACAGAAGGAGAAAACTGAGGCTCAGTTTGGAGACTTATCCAAAGTCCCAAGGAAAGTTGGAGGCAGAACTGGGTCTTAAACCAGTTTTCTAGATTCTTCTCTCTTATGTTGCTATTATCTGAGGGTGGCAGATTTATTTAAGAAATGTTAATGTATTGTGCTTACAATGTGCCAAGCTAAGGCTAACTAAGCATTAACTTATTTAACTCTCATAACAACCTTAGGAGGCATTAATATTATTCCAGTATAATCCATGAGAAAATGGAGGCGCAGAGAGGTTAAGTAACTCACCCACAGTTATACAACTAACAAAGGGTAGAGCTGGGATTTGAACCCAGGCAACGGGTTGCTAAGAATCTAGACACTTAACCCCTTTGCTATGCTGCCTCTCAGCTGGTCACAAGAAAGGAGCCGTTCCAAGGTCAAGTCACCTGATCCAGTCCCCAGCCTCCTGTGGCTTTTCTCACCTGAGATGGAGCAGCCAACAGATGTCACAGCTCTGCCTTCCAGCCCTAAAAACTGAGCATACTTGCCCTTAGGCAGCTGGAAGACAGCCTGGCCAGAGCTTTTCTGCCATGGCTGATGGTGTCCCCTCTTTCCTGCCCTGTTTGAGACCCTTCTTGGCACTAGGGAAGCAGCGCCCAAGGTCAAAGGAATGTGCAAGTTGGCACCTCCCAGGCTGTGCTGAACTGTGCTCCGGGCAATGGGAGGCCATAGGGCCTGGTGAGCCCAGTTGTCCCCGCGGCAAGCTCCCTGGGCCAGGAGCGAGCAGGCTAGGAGGGCTCATAGCCTGGGCCCGAAGGGCCAGAGGCCAAGGGGAGGCTATGGGGGCCCAGGTGCCCATCCCCACACAGAAGACCTTCAAGGTTGTCTCACCAGATCAGTTCAAGTCTTGGTCAAGGTCATATGGGGAGTTAGTATCAGAGCCATGACTAGACCCACAGCTCCCTCACCAGGAAACCGTCCCCCCCTTGACCACCTCTTCATGAGCCATTTGATGAGCCTGTCCCCACCCAAAGCCCTCATCTTTTCTAGATCTGGCTCAAAGCCCACTGCAGTCAATAGAGTCCCGTTTTGGCCTGTAGGCCTGAATCACCCCCATCACAGAAATCCTTCTGGGAGTGTGCTCTTTGTTTGGGGACCCCTCACCCCAAAGCCAGCCTGAGAAGGCTGACCAGAGTGGCCTGCTCCTTTCCCAGCCTGACCCTGTCCCCCTACTACTCTGAGCTTAGATAATCCAGAAAGATACATTGAATCAGGACAGGCTCATGCCAGAAAGTCAAGATGGAAGCTCACCCCTCAATCGCAAACTGGCTCCTACTTGGTGCCTAAGGCTCTGCTATTCAAGGTGTATATTCCTTTGGAATTAAGGCAGGATCCTCCTTTAAAAGCAAATTTTCTTAGGCAGCTAGCCCAGAATGAGGGAAGGGTGCTGAGCACTCTGGAAGGCAGGGGCAACAGGAGACAGAAGAACGGGGTCCAGCTCACCCCTCTAAAGGTGGTCCAAGCAGAGGCCACCTCCTGTTTCGCACGCGTTCACACACACTCACCGTCGTCCGTCGACCACCCTGCCATCTCCCTAGCAGACTGGGCTTGTCTCTACCGCCTTCCTTCTGCTGCCTCTGCTTCAGGGAGAGTGCTGGCTGTGGGGTGCCCAGGGATGAGGTGGGGACATTAAACATTAACAGTGTCAGGTAATATTTACCCTGGTCACCAGAAAAGCCCTGGTGTGGACGAAGGGGCTCCCGCTGAGGCGTGAGGAGGTGCCTGGCAGACAGGGGCAGGCGAGAGCTGGCTGGGTCTCCAAACCCTCCCAAAGGAAATTTCCAAAGAGGAGGGCCAGGGACAGTCCGCCAGCCGTGCTGTTCTTCCACCAGCTGGAGAAGCCACAGCTGTGGCTGTGACAGCCGGAAGTGGGAGTTTCAAAATATATTCAGTGTATACTGTATGTCAGGGTTTCACAGAAGCCCCAACCCCAGCAGCTGTCCACCTCACCAACCACTGCAGAGACTACTCTTTCAGCTGGTATTTCTTACCTGGTCCTCCAGGCTTCCCTGGGCTGGTCCGGAGCTGTCCGGCCCCTCCCACCTCACAGCTCACCCTGAGCCCACTATGAAGTCACACCTTCAGGCCTCTGCCACCCTGGAATGCCCTTTCCTCTGTTATCTTCTCCATCCATTGAGATGCCTCTAGCAGCTCACACTTCAGTCAGAAAGGCTCCAGTCATCCCTAACCAATCTCTTTTTCCCTTGCAGCTTCTGGCACTTTCCACCTATTCTACAAACATGAAGGGCTTGCTCCAGTTAGCGTCACCCTCTAGTTGTTGCATGCCAGTTCCCATGTTACCCTGGAGGCTTCTTCAAGAAGGGGCCGAGCCTTACCACAGCGAGAACGTCCTGCTTGTACGGTTTACGAAGCACTTTCCTGACTGTTGTTTCCTTGCACTTGTCTTATTTTCCCCGTTATACAAATGAGGCATCCGTGGCACAGAGTGGGCAGGGCTCTGGGATAAGGTCACACAGCAAGTCAGGGGCAAGATGAAGACTGACAGCCAGGCATCAGATGTAAAAGCCAGGTGCTTTCCCACACCTCTGAGGCTGCCTCCCCGCTCCACTCTGGCCTCCTTCACCCCAGGGACCCCAGCGCTGGGTACTCTGTGGGAGCTCAGATTCCTGGCTGAGTTCCAGTCAATTGAATTGACCTCCAGACGAAGCTGGGGCTCAATAGTAGCCAGTTGTCAGTGTCCACCAGGGCTGGGTTAGCCATTCCAAAGGGAATACTAATCCTCCTTGAGCAGCGGCAGGGGTCAAGGTTTGAATTCACTTCCTGGCTCCTCCGCTTGCTAAGTGAGTGGACTCTGTCAAGTGACTTAAGCTGCCTGCGTCTCAGTACCTTCATCTATTACAACAGAGCTAACGAGTGGTAGGAGGTGACCACATGTCACACTCTGTATATACTGTCCCACTGAATCGACGTTTGCACCGTTCTACAGATAAAGCAACTGAGGCTGATACTTTGCTCTCCAAAATGACCCTTGGAAGTGGCCAGGGCTGTGCCATGATCCCCACTGTGAACACCAGGAAGACTGAAGGTAAGGAGGTTGAAAGACTTGTGTGAAACACCCAGTTAGTGACAAAACCAGGGCTAGAAATCCAGGCCCTTAAGGCTGTGCTCTGGAAGCTACTGCCTCTCTCTACACAAGGCACTGGTGCCCTTTATTAAACGAGGCCTGACAATTAAGTTCGGGAACTTGTTGCAATGATGCTGCCAACCTTTTTTTTTCATATCAAAGGATTATTCATTATAAATTTGTACCAACTGGACAAACAGCTAACCAAGTTGACTATTTGGAAGTGCTGAAAAGGCTGTGTGAAAAAGTTAGACGACCTGAACTTTTCACCAACAATTCACAGCCCTTGCATCACAAGAATGCACCAACTCACACAGCACTGTCTGTGAGGGAGTTTTTAGCCAGTAAACAAATCACTGTATTGGAACACCCTCCCTAGTCACCTGATCTGTCCCCCAATGACTTCTTTCTTTACCCAAAGATAAAGGAAATATTGAAAGGAAGACATTGTGATGACATTCAGGACATCAAGAGTAATATGACAACAGCTCTGATGGCCATTCCAGCAAAAGAGTTCCAAATTGCTTTGAAGGGCAGACTAGGCACTGGCGTCGGTGCATAGCTTCCCAAGGGGAGTACTTTGAAGGTGACCATAGTGATATTCAGCAATGAGGTATGTAGCACTTTTTCTAGGATGAGTTCACAAACTTAATTGTCTGACCTCATATATCCTCTTGGCATCTCAGTGTGTTTTGTCTATCACTGCAAGCCACCATGGAGTCTTTCTGGAATAATAAGGGATATAAAAATAGGTGGAAAGATAGATGGATGGATAGATAGATAGATAGATAGATAGATAGATAGATGACAGACAAAAAGAGGAATAGGGAAAGCAAGTTGATAGCTGCATTTTTTAACTCTATGTGCAATGCACTGTTCTAAGCATTTTACAAAAATTAGCTCATTTAATCATCACAACTTTATGAAGTAATGAAGGCATTATTATCATCCTCATGCTGTAGGTGAAGAAACTGAGGCACAGAGAATTTAAATAACTTGCCAGAAGTCAGGCAGCTAGGAAGTAGAGAAACCAAGATTTGAACCCAGCACTCTGGCTTCGGAATTCCTGCAGATAGACAAATGGGTAGACAGACAGACAGGCAGAAAAGGAGGCAGTTGGACACGTTGTCTTGCCAGCTCTTGCAGCTCAGAGATGCTCAGAGCACAGATCACAGCATGCCCAGTACTCCGTACTGAGATGTCCTTGTTTAGAAATCCTGCCTCTCCTCGTTTCTGCTGTTCCTGCACTTCTGGGGGCTTGTGGGTACACTTGATGGGGTGGACACCTGTGTCAGAGTCTGAGAAGGTGGGAGGGATGGGGCTCAGGGGACTCACCCAGGTACCATCTGTCCATGGCAGGAGCTGCTGGCTGTGTCCTTGGTGGAAGAGAGTTGTGAAGTGCCAGTTGCCGAGGGCCTGGATGGAAAGAACGGCACTCCCTCCCTTCACACCTCAGCCAAGTCCACGGGGCAGGAAAGAACAAAGGCAGGGAGGAGGGGCTGGCAAGTGAGCCTTCACCTTGTACCGGCCTGCCTGGGCAGGAGGAAGGCAGGGATCCTTGTGGGAGGTGGCACCTGAGGAAGGGGAAGCTGTGAGCCACCGCAGAGCAAACGGCAGCCCCCACACTGGCCCCTGTACCCTCGGGGGAGAGGTGCCATATCCAGCACCCTCCAGGCAGCCCAGGGTGCCTACAAAGGTTACCAGGACCCAGGAGGACACCGGCTGAACAAAGGTTACCAGGACCCAGGAGGACACCGGCTGAGACCGGAGCCAGCAGAATCATAGCACCTGCTCTCTGCCCAGCCCTGGTCTGGTGGCAGCTAAGGAAGACACTCAGGGGCATTTGTGGGTCCCCCTGAACCTTTACTGAACCTCATTTCTCCAGCCCAGTTGGGCCTTTGTCCTGATATATTCTATCCCAAGGCCCTGTTCTGTAGCTAGGAGTCCCTTGAGGCTGGACAGAGTAACAGCAGCCCCTTGGAAGCTGCCCTAGGTGGAGTGGGGGTGGGGTTGTGGGGCATGGCCCTGGGACCTAAGGCACAAGCTGCAGCCTCCTGTGTTATTCCCGTAGTAAGGCAGAGATGTAGAGTCGCTGAGGGCTGGGAGGGTGAGCTGGTGAGGGGCTGATCCCATGGTAGCCTTCCCTTGCTCAGCCTGGGGACCCTCGCTTAGCCCCCAGTGACTTGCCACAAGTTGTGATGTCAGACCTGCAGCCCAGCAGAATTCCTAATGAGGCTTCTGAGGATTGCAGGTTGGTGCCAGAAAGAAATGGTCAGAAGACAGTACTTCTAGTCTCGGGGCAGGTGTGGAGGGCCTGACTCCCAGCTAGTCAGGAGCCAAGAGCAGGGGCGCAGGCAGCTCCGACATTGGCTCAGCCTTGTCCCTCCCTGGTCCCTGGCCGCTCAGAGCAAGGCCGTCACAAGCATTTCTGTGTGGCTCACCTGGGACCACAGGACTTCCCTCAGGTCCCTTGTGGGCCGCCCTGCTTGGCCACCCCAGCACAGATTCTGAAAAACAGGGTCTGATAGATGCTTGTTCTGGCCCCAACCTCTGATCACAATGACACCTCACCTCCATGTCCCTCCTCAGCTACACTTCCTGCCCTGAAGGGATGACTAATTGTGCCCACAGAGAGCAGCCTCCGGGCTGGAAATCACTGTGGAAATGGAGAACGGTGGCCTGGAGGGGCTTTATCTGATTGGGCTGAGATCTGTCCTGGGGTTCCAGATCAGGCAGCCCTGACTCCAGGCTACTTGCTGCTTTCCCCACCACCCTGCAAGACAGGGGCAAACCTGCCAGGGGCCGAGCTGCTCACGCGGCCAAGCCTTGTGACATGTTCCCAAGTAGAAACTTGCACACTAAGGTGGCACAAAGCTGCCGAGCGGAAATTCCCCAAGCTGGGCACTTTGAGAGGTTCGTAAATCTCAGGCTAAGATGGGACTTTAGAGGTTACTTGGTCCAAGCACATCAGTGGTCTAGAAAAGTGGATATCGCAGCCAGAACCCTCCGCCCCCCAACCACACACACACACACACACACACACACACACACTCTGTGTTCCCTGCCAGACCTTAATGCTGTGAACAAAGGTGGCTCAATCCTAAATGGAGACCTAGACTAACTGGAAAGGGCCTCTGAGGTCCTCCTGTCCAATCCCCTCACTTTACCAAAGGTTTACTTTCCTGCTCAAACCCTCCAAGGGCTCAGAGTATAAGCCAAAGTCCTTTCTGTGTCCTACAAAGCCCTTCTTAATCTGAACCCGTTGACCTCTATGACCTTGTCTCCAACTTCCCTGCCCATTCTATACGCTTCAGCCATACTGATTTCCTTGATGGTCCTCTAACCCTCCAGGCACGCTCTGCTTCAGAACTTTTGCACTAGCTGTTCCTTCTTTCTGAATACTCTTCCTTCAGAGAGCGTCCTGCGTAAACTTGCTCAGGTTTTTCTTCATAGGCTGACTCAGAAGACCCTCTTGGCGTCCCAGTCTGCAATTTTCACACCCACTCTATGCAATGTTTCAAATCCCTTCTTAGTTTTTTTGTTTTGTTTTGTTTTTTTTGGTAGCACTGATATCTGATAACTTGTATGTTTTTCTTATCTTGTTTATTGTCTCTCTTTCGACTAAAATTTAAGCTCCAGGAGATCAAGGATTTTTGTTTGTTTGTTTATTACTAGACTTCCAGTGCCTACAATGGGGCCAGGCACTTGGTGACCCCAATTTTGTTAAATAAATGAATAAGTCCAAGAGGTGAAATAATTTCACCAGTGGCGCAAGCAGACTCAGAACTGGCCTAATGCAGCCTCTTCCCATGAAGTCACCTGCCCCAAAACAGGAACAAGACCTAGTTTTTCCCCACAGAGAGACAGCAGGTGGCCAGTAAATGCTGACAGCTCCCCCAGAGTCTTTTTGAGGGAGTTCCCCATTCTTTCCCCTCTCCTCACACTCCATACCCCCACCCCAGGGCTTCACCAGGAGCCCTGTGGCAATTTTCATAAAAGTACTCATTTGTCCTTTCTAAAGAAGTCTAGGCATTAAGAGCCCAAGAGGTCTCATCCCTTTCCTCTCACTCACATCCAAGTCCTTCTTCAGACTTCTTCCCTGTCCCCCACTCCCTAGCTGACTGAGGTAATCAGGTCCTGGCTGACACTGGGGAAAAAAACCTCTCTCTCAGAGACACCCTACTCTCCTCCAGGGAACCCCTGGTTCCTTAAACCTGTGGCCCAAGATCCTCCGGAGAGAAGCCCAGGAGAGCCTCTCCTCCCATGAGTTTCTGCATGCAGGGGCCAGACACATCCACACTTAAATCCCTTTGCGTCCTGACTCTTCACTATGGACGTATGATCCTGGGGAGGTCGCCCTCTGGGTCTCCTCCCATCCATAAAACAGGATGATAGCACCTACCTTGCAGAGTTGTTGTAGGAATTGAGATGAGGTAGGTAAACGTCATGGCCATCAAAGGTCCTAATAAGTGCCAATTTCGTCATCCTCACCCCACGCTGGCCTTCCGGGGGGCAAGGACACTCACTGCAATCCTTCCTTGGGCTCAGGCCTCTGCCGAGGTGATCTCTAAAGCAAGCTCCCAGAGCGCCTTGCCCTCCCTGACCCTCAGCCTACCACTTACCAGCCTACCACTCACCGGATACCCAGTCTTCCTTTCTTCCCTGGACGCCCATGCAGCACGGCTGTTCCCTGCTGGTGTCTGGCCCCACTTGTTCTTCTAGGCTTTCCCAGGATACAGGGCCAAATGGAATAGGAACGCTACTCTGCCATCCCAGAAAAGCTACAGGGCAGGCAAAATCCCCCCATCCAACCCCCCCCCCTCCCTTTGCTCAACTGGAGCCAAAGAGAGCCTTCCAGCCACACTCCCCAACTCCTGGATCTCTCTTTCAGCACTGTCATGCCCCATGGGACAGTGTCCTCAGTTGCCATGCCTCAGTCTCCCCTGTCTTCCCCAAGCAGGCGTCCATTTGTCCCCTGACTCTTCAGTCTCAGGGCAGCCGTCTGGGTGGTCATTGTCAGGTTGATGGGGTAGGGAGGTTACTTGCCAGAACATCAACTGAGCGCTGTCTGCCTGGCACTAAAAAACCAGCCACAAGGCAAAGGCCCTCACCACCAGCTTCCCTAAAATGGGGATTTCCAGCTCCGCCAACCTTCACGTGCAGAGCCCACAGCCTTGGACTCCAAGTCCCTGGTTAATCCTCCTGCTGTTGGCTTGCAGCTGGAAAGAAGCCAGGAACCCCTAGAAAGCCCCGGTTCCTAGCCTGGGTTGGTCATTAGTTGCATGGCAGGCATGGCTACTCGGCAGGGAAGGTGGCGGCTCCCAGGTCCCATCTGTGCTGCCCAGAGGTCTTGAGCCACAGGGAGTGCTCGCTCCTGTCTCCTGCTATGGCCACAAATGCCAGGATCACTGGGGTCTTATAAGGCGGGCCTGGGAGGAGGTGGGCCCTGGAGGGTCCATTCCTTAAGTGTTGGCTTCAAGATGGCCAAGCCATAGGGCACACAGGTCCTGGGAGCTGCCAAAGGGCAATGTACTCTAAGAGTCAAGGTCACTGAGGCCTTTCTGCTCCCTGAGCAGGCAGGGGATGGGGACATTTTCTTCTGTTTCAACTGCTGGTGACAAGGGCAAACCCGTTTGACCCACCTCTCCCACAGTGAATACCCTGGAGAGAAATGCATTCTTGGCTTTTCTCAGAACTCACATCTGGGCTTAAACTAGAGCAGAGGCTGTTTCTCACCAGCTGCCGTCCTTCTCTAGTAACCACAGCCCTCCTTATCTCTGAAAAGCAGCTTCAAGCTTGCCTTCCGCCTCCAGAAAAACCTCCAGGAGCAAGCCCACCCTCTGCTGCGCCTTTCTTTCCTGCATGACCTTCTGGAGTCCACTGACGTGACCCCAAAGGCTGGCATCTACAATAGCTTTGTAACTATCTTTGTCGTTTATTTCACGGATCGGCAAGCCTAGCCTGGCCTGTGAGGACTCAGATCATGATGTCCGTGACATGCTTGTCTTCACTGCGTGGTGCCCAGCTCTCCTCCCTTAGACATTCAATCTAGTTCATGCTTCTCAATCGCTCCAAACAGCCCGTGCCTCCTCCATGTGCTTCGTTCCTCCCAACAACTCAGCCAAGCAGGTTTTGTGACACCCATCTTACAGAGGAGGAAGCTGCGGTGGTACGTGGGCCAGTCAAAACTTGACCCCTGGCCCAACAGACAGAAGGGGAACCCTGCTATTAAAGAAAGGAGACAAGGAAATGGATAATATAAATATTAACAACGTATCTACATGTACGATTTTTAAAGTGTTGTATGTCCTTTGTATCGCTTTGACCCTGTGAGGTAACAGGAAAGATATTGTACAGCTGAGGAAACTGAGGCTAAAGTGGCCCAGTTTACCCTATGGCTAGGAAGGACTTCATTTTGCAGAGAAGGCAACTGAGAAAGATGCTGGAGACTGCTCAGGCTTACACAGCTAGAGAGGAGGGGCACCCAAGGGACTGTCCTGAGCCGCCTTCTGCTCCACCAGGCTGCTTCCAATCCTGGCTCAGAGGCAGGAACCCACTCTTCTGGATGGTGCAGGGGGCCCATCCCCTAACAGCCCCTACCATCCCAAGACCTTCAGGACATCCAATCGCAACATCACCTGCTCTGCCATCACTGCCTTGGCTGCTGTCCCACTATTGTGCAACCAGGCCCAGGGCCAGGGTTGGCTCCATAAAATCAGCAGCCAGTTGGCTTAAGCCGGTTGATTCTGCCCCCCTGGAGTTCAGCTGTGACAGCAATGAATCACACTAATGGTGAGAGGTGACCATTCTTCCTCTTTGTGGCCTGGAGACAGGTATTTCCAAAGCTCCCCGCTGGATCAGGTAAACACACCTGTCTCTCTCTCTCTCTCTCTCTCCCTCTCTCTCTCCAGGGTGAGACAAAGCAACCAGGGACAAGGTGGGGTGAACCAGACAGAGCTGGACAGCCCTCCCACCCCAGGTCTGCCCAGCCCCCCCTGCCAGCCTCGATCCTGCCCTTCCCCACAAAGGAGAGGTGACCTTGGGGTGTGCTTCAGTCTGGCATCCCCCTCACCAACTCCACCCTCCCTGCTGCTTGCACTGTGCCTCTGTTCCAAGAACAATTTGGCAAATTCCAACCTACAACCTGCAAAATAAAGCAGAGTGGTGGGGAGGCCACAGCTCAGAGGCCCAGAAGGCAGGCTGACCTATTTTTATGTGGGATTAAGTAACACGAACACCTCCATGCAATTACACTTCCAACTCTTTGGAGTGGAATTCATTGGGGCGGGGCGGGAGGGGGTGTCCTTGGCAGGTGAAATGGGCAGGACGCCTGAGGTCACTGTCTGAGACCAGGAGGCTTGGCATTCCCTTCTGGGAAATGGCACGGCAGGGAAGCTCTCCTACTCAACCAAGTTACATTTGCTATATCCGACCAAATCCCAAATATAAGTCACGTGTCTAGAGGCCAAGTTGACAGACATGGTCCTGTTTGCATGGAGAGCCAGTCCAGAAGGAGGATGCACGTTCAGCAGCAACCCAGCATTCTGGATTGTGGATTCTTCTTCCCTGGCCCTGCAGTACTGGACCAGAGAGTTTCCAAGAGGCTCATCCATTGGGGGAGTTGGAGGGGGAGAGGGGAGGTGTCCCAATTTGGGCCTGGACACTTAGGTCACCATGGGTAATTTCTGAGTCCATCTTGCCTAGAGGATCCCACCAGCTGGTCATTTTCCCTCAGCTTGAACACTTCCAGTGGTGGGAACTCACTCCAGTTTGGGGTGATCATGACTGTGGGAACTAAGAACCCCCTCACACGAGGCCAAGTTCTGCCGCCCTCACGTCCACCTGATGGGCCTACGTCCGTTCCTCTACAGTATACAGAGACACTGGGTCTGAGCTGGACGGGCCTGGGCTGGACCTTGGCTTTGCCACCAGGAGTGCAAACTCAAGCAAGTCCCAAGCCTCAGTTTCATTTGTAAAACAGGGATACCATCATATAAGGCTGTAAGTTCTGAATGAGTTGATACATGTGAAATTCTCAGCCCCGTGTTTGTCACATAGCAAGTGCTTGTTGATAAACGTTAGCTGCTATTATTATTTTGATGATTAGTCTCTTGACTGTTCTTTGTGTGTTCTTTCCAGACCAACTCACCTCCCATGAGACCCTCCCCAGAGCAGTCTAGTTAGTTTATGCCTGAAAGGGACCGCCAACCTCCAGATGTGGTCTCACCAGCCCAGATGATCCCCCGCTTCGTCTGGACATCAGCCTTCCCCTGAAGAAGGTAGCCAGGCCACGGGGTGTGTTATACAGAACTTTGAAGAACTTTGAAGGGCTTGGGCCCCTCTGCCTCCCAGTTGTGTGGCCCTAGATGAGTCATGAATTTATCAGAGACCCCATTAAATATGAATAGCCTACCTACCTTAGAGATAATGCTGGATTACCAGGAGAAAGAAGTGAGTGCTTAGAGTCTGGCAAAGTAGGGATAACTATTTTATACAAGTGCAAGAGAGAACTATCCTTCTCAATTATTAACACAATTGTGATGAGAAAAATCAGAACCTCCCCATTGGGCTTCCCTACACTTAAGAGTTGAATGCCCTATTTTTAATAATAAAGGTGGGGAGGTACCCAGCCTTCTGTGCTCCTGGAGCCTCTAAGACTCTTCATCTGGTTGTGCTGTGAAATCGCTGCAAGGCCTGTAAATCCTGTGGCCCGTGAATGTTCATGGACGGCGGCTATTAGCTTATTTACAAAGTTGAAGTGTGACCAGGTTTTTGTAACCACGGTGATCACTGGGTTGACCATGTTGAGCTTGATCTCAGCTATAAGCCTCAATCTTTTCAGAGACCTGAGGGACTGAGGGTAGAAGCAGGTGCAGAAGTAGGGCAGGCAGCAAGGGTGTATGGGAGGGCCAGGGCATTGCTGGACAACCTCCAGTCCCTCAGGAGCCGTGGCTTGAAATTCTGCAGCTCGCAACGACTGCAGAGCCTAGGCAGACTCTATAAAGATTTTTTGGAGACCCTAAGTTGTTCCAGGCATTCTTGTTAGAACAAGACATAGGCCTTGCCCTCCATGAATAGTCTCACAACGAAGACATATAAAACACAGAGGTGGGGGCCGTACACCAATGACCTCCAAGGGAACCACCCTTCAGCTGTGTTTATTTGGCCAACAATACTTTTTATAAAACTGAATTGAAATGTCTTTTGGGAGGACACCCTAGGTGGCCCCAGGGCCCTATGCCCCATCTGTTGTGTCACAACCCCTGAGTCACAAATGGACATTATCTGCCTGACCTCTAGTTTGGATTTGAGGTGTGGAGTATTAAATGTAAAGATAAAGGCAGGAGCTAGTGTGAGCGGAGCACAGAAAGAAGGGACTCACTCTACCTGAAGTCCAGGAAGGCTTCACAGAGGAGGGGCTATTTGGGTTGGGAGAAACATAAAAGGGGAAGGGCTTGAATCATAACCCAAGTGACCCACCTACACACTTCTATGTCAAGTCCTTAGATAGTGGCCCCAGAATTGACCAAAGGGAGAGGTTAGAAACTTGCATTTCAGGCCAGCAAGCCTTCAGTCAAGCAACTGTGACTCCCTTCTCTCCTGGACAGGCATCCGGTCCTGCTATGGGGTGGAGCCTGGGCCCACTGACAGGAGAGGAAGTGGGTGGGAGGATGACTGGAGGGAACGAGTGGGAGGAGGGAAGGGTGCCAAGGAGAGATCTGGGTGAAAGAGAGGGGAGGAAAGGGAGGGAAAAGAAGTCCCAGTGGGGATACTAAGCGTTAAAGCGGCTGGAATGAACAGGCACCATTTGGGTGCCTCTTTAGCCCTCACTTCCTCCCTCTGACCAAGGACAGAGTCCCTTTGGCCCTCAAATACTTGAGTTCGTTCACAGAAAGGAAAGCACCTCCGAGCCATTAGGAAACAAATGGTATTTCATTCTTTGTTGTTGTTGAGAGGATAGATCACAGCACAGACAGCAGTCCTGTCACAAGTAGTTTGCACGAGAACACGATGGACGGGGAGGGGCGGGGTCTGGTTTGACTTTCCACTCTCTTGATGACCTTTGGCCTCTTTCTGTTCCCTCTGCAGCAGGACTGCAGGGAGCCCTGCCTGGTGTCTAACCCGCAGCATAGCCCCTGCACTCATCACTCTGACCAGGGACAAGTGGAGCAAAGTGCGCAGGCGCTGTGGCTGCTGCCTGACCAACGGGCAGTGGGCCCGAGCATAGGACCCATGCTCTCTCTTGCTGACCCCAACAGAATGGATCACTGCCAGAGACCCAACTCAGGGACAGGAGTCAGAGACCAGGCGAGCTGGGCTGTAGATCGGTCTTGGAAGCAGGGAAGGTAGGAGAGGGAGGTAGGAATCCAGAGCCCACAGGGTTATTGCTGAGAAGATATGCAAGGGGCACATTCCCCAGGGGAAGAGTACAAGCCCTAGACACCCTGCCTGCTCTGCGATGGCACAAGGCAGATGGGGGCTCCGTGGTAGAAGTCCCAGGTGAAAAATAAACAGGGAAGGGATGTCTCCTGCCTGAAGGCATACCTGGGCTCACCAGCTCCTTGCCGTGAGCTTCCAATTGCTAAGAGACCTTCAGAACAGACCTGGGTCAGGGGTGGAAATACGGAAGCAAGGTTCTTGCAAAAAGAGGAAAGAGAGGCCACTGAAGAATGATCATGAAGGTGACGTAAACCTTCCCAAGTCCCAAGACAACTGGAGACTTCCACCCATGCCCCCACCCATATGCCCACCCCCAAATCAAGAGAAGGGACTGGTCTCTCAGGGAAAAAGCAGACTCTTGGGAGCAGGGTGGGGATGGGAGGCCACGGAGGTGCAGGGAGGAGCTGATGGGAACATGGCTCAGCTCCAGCCCAGGAAAGTAAGCCCAGGTTCACTAATACAACATCATTCACAGACAAGTAGCTACGAAGACCAGTCATTACACACACGCATGCGCGTGCGCGCACACGCACACGCGTGCACACACACACACACATACACGTCACAGGAGGTGGACGAACCCACAGGCTGCAGGTGGGAAGGTGGGTATTAGCTGTGCCACTAAGTTGAGGACTGGTGTTCGAGGGGATAGGGAGGGGTCAGGGGGACACACAAGTTCTTGGTTTCTCCTGGGGAAAGATCTGTTGCTGAAGTGGCCGGTTTTCTTAAGCATCATCATTTTCATCTAAAGGTTCAAGCAGCTGCCTTCAGGTTCCGGAGGCTGAAGAGGGAAAGAATTTAAATTAAAACAAAATGTTGACTCCCTTTCAGAAATCTTGATCTGTTCATCTCCCTGCCTTTAGCAGTCCCTCTGCTCACTGAAACTCTGAGGGTGCGAGACCCATTCTCAAGTGCCATGTTCCTGGTAAAGCAAGGAGAACAATCCTAAGATGCAGGGAAAGATGAAGGTGTAGGAGGGGGTGGACTTCAGGGGGACTGAAGCCTGGTAGACATGGAAAGGAAATTGTGAAATCCAGGTTCCCCATCCCAGGACACCTTCAATAGCTGCTCATGATCCAAAGACCTAAGAGAACAGGCTTCCTGAGGAAGTCCTAGTTTAAAAAAAAAAAAAGACAAAAGACAACTGCTAGCTCCAGGCTCCCTCCCTTGGGCCTTTCCACACCACTCCCAGATTCTGACCTGCCAGCTGCAAAAAAGTGGACAGAACACCAAGCGGCAGCTGGGACACCTGCCTCCAAGATTGAGTTCCACAGCCACCGCAAGCTTAGGAATCACTGATCCTCCCAAGCCCCATCTAGTAGATAGAGGTCATGAGCTCTGCTCTGACCCCCTGCTACCCATGTGGCTGTGAAGAGAATATAAGAGCCCTTAGGAAAGAATTCAAATGCTACACAAGCACACCGTGTCACTACGATCACAGTAAAAGCTGTGTCTCAGGCGTTTTACAATCTAGGAATCTCTTTTAGCTTACAATTTAGGATAAAGGTATATACCTATCTTGGATGGACCTAGAGGGTATTATGCTAAGTGAAATAAGTCAGACAGAGAAAGATAAATACCATATGATTTCACTTATATGTGGAATCTAAAGAACAAAATAAGTGAACAAACAAAGCAGAAACAGAGTCATAGGTACAGAGAACAAACTGATGGTTGCCAGATCGAAGGGGGCTTGGGGGCTGGATGAAAAAGGTGAGGGAATTAAGAAGCACAAATTGGTAGTTACAAAATAGTCACAGGGATGTAAGTACAGCATAGGGACTATAGTCAATAATACTGTAATAACTATGTACAGTGTCAGATGGGTACTAGACTTACCAGGGGAAATCACTTTGTAAGTTATATAAATGTGTAAACACTATGCTATACACCTGCAACTAATATAAAACAATATTAAATGTTAACTGTAATTGAAAAAAAAAGGTATATACTTGTCTATTATGCCTTATTTGTATGAAAATAAAAGGCAAAAGTGAGCTGATAGAAGACTGATCCCCCCACCAAGTACGTTCCAGGGTATGTCATAAAGCAAGGCAGGCAGGAGCAGGGGGATGTGGTGAAAATGGCACTAAACTACGAACACCTGAGTTCAGGTTCCAGTCTGTCACTTATTATTTGTATAGCTATTCTCTCTGACCTCAGTTTCTTCATCTATAAAATGGGGCTAACCCCCACCTGTCCTACTTACTTCTTGGGGCAGGCTCCAGAGAGTGTGTGTGTGGCAGCATTTTGAAAAATATAAAGCATTTAACAGTTATTACTTTTTCCTTGTCCCTACAATGAACTATGGAAATGGACATTAAAAACAGAACTGATAACACACATATGTGGGAGGATGGGGGGGAGGGGGGTGTCATATATTATCTCCCTATTTTTGTGTAGGTTTGGAAAGTCATAACGCAATGTTATTTTTTAAAAGTGGCCCTAAGGAACTTTCTGAATCATCACTATCTGTTTGCTACTTTGATATTAGAAGTATTTCACTAACTCTAATTCTCTCCCAAGTCATGCCCACACAGCAGCTAGGATGACGCCCTATTAACTTGACTGCTAGGCTGTGTAAAAGCCCTATTTCCTGACTGTTCACTATGTGCATGTGCAGTGCATGCACCTCAGATGTTTCGGTCCATCTGTTTTATCAATGCTGTCAGACACACAAGACTCCTCAGAGCACACACTGCTCATAATAAAAGCTGTGCCTATGCAAAAGCTAGCCCAATTCTTCCCCAGTGAAAGAACAGGGATGGTGAGAGAGGAAGACGTAGGCAGATAGCATCCTACCTTCCCACCTGAGGGCTGCACTTCAGTTCTCTGCTTTCTGGGGCTCTGTTGCTGGAAAGGAAATCAGGACAGATTATAACGAATGGACCCCTCAACCCAGAGGGCCACCCCCTGCAGCAGCCATGCCTGTGCCTGACTCTGGGGTGCAAAGAGGTGACTCGTGGGATTTTGAGTCAGACAGACCTGGGTGCAAATCGTTGCCCTGCTACTTGCTGGTCACAGGAACTGGGCACATTTCTTAACTTTTGAGCCCCTCGGTTGTAAAATTGGATAATGATGACTGCCTCATGGAGCTGTGTGCACATTAAGTGAGATGAAGTCTGTGGTGCACCCTATATCATGCCTGACACTAAGCAGATGCCCCATAAATAGCAGCTATCAGGAGTAGTAGCCTGTTTGGTGGAGGTGAGAGGACAATACAGGGCAGGGGCCCTGGAGACCCCTATCCTGGCACCATGGGAGCATGTCTGGCTGGCTCTAGGGAGGCCACAGCACCTGGCGACTAACCCTCCTTGAGTCATATAAGAACCCCCATTTCCTCCCTTCCACCTAGGCAGGAGACCATGACAGTTACCATTTGCAGTGATGAGGTTCTCCACCTGGGCTTCCTCATCCCCTGGAGCCCTGCAAGAGGACAAGACACAAGCCCTTCCATCAGAGGCCTCCAGTGCAAACCCAGAGAGCATCACCATTCTCCTTGCAGGGGTGCTTCGAGTCATCTGATGCCTCCAGCACGCTCCATGGGGCTCACAGGGCAAGGGAGAAGTCGGAACTGAAGGGGCAGAGTCAGGGGAGCTTACAGGTACCTTTCAATGTCAGCCCTAACAGGACTAACTACCGGGAAGGGGTGGCCTAGGGCATCATGGGAACTTGGGTTGTGTCCTGCCACAAACTTTGGACTTCTGAGGTCCAGAGCTACCCTTGGTTATTGTAGTAGACTAATGGGGTATGCCCTTGATGTTGGAGTAGAAATGTAAGTGAAAGGGAGCCCAAGCTTCTATTCAGCTCAAAGAGCCTCTTGAACAGGTGACATGCAGGGACAGTGTCATAGGTCCTACAGAGAGATGGACCACAAGAGAGGCCCTGAGGCCCTCTGCCTCCCTTCTCCCAAGCCCCACTGTCTCAAGCATCTCCAGACAAGTATCCAGCACCTTCTTTCCCACCTCCCCTCCTCTATATTTATCAGAAGAAAGAAGGTGGGGCTAACCCTCAAAGTCTGCCTGGAAATCCTCAAAACTTCTGCCCTACCCCCAACGCACATGGCCTGTTTCTGAGACAAGAATCTAAAATAATACTCATTTGGGTCACACAACAGGAGGCTCCTCCCTGCTGCCTCTTACTCCCTCTTAGTGTCACCCCAGATGTCCACAGCCATGGCATCCTTACCGGGGCTTCTGATTGAAACTGCACTTGCATCTGCGACCTGAAAGGCAAAGAAACCATGCAAGGTCATCCTCCCAGCTTGAGCTCAAGGTCATGCTCCCGACTTGGCCACAGCAGGGCTTCCCTGTGAGAGACTGTGCAGGCTGTAGGATAGGTAAATACCACCCCCTACACCTAGGCAGTGCACAACTGTATGTAGCAATTGGAGGAGGGCTCTTCTGAGGGCACGGTGCAACAACAGCTCAGATGGCTTCACCACAATCTGCCTGATCATGCAAGAGGGCTCCATGCACACCAGGCTTATGTGAAGAAAACAAATGCAGAGGCACATCCCTTGGAGCACGCTAAGGACAGTCCCTGTCTCCTATCTTCTGTGACTCTTCCACTCACGCCCTGCTGGATACAGCACCAGGAGGGCTACCTGCCCTTTCTTCTTATCTGTTCTTCTTTTCATTGAGCATTTATTTTGTTCAGTCTTCACTGTTTTACTGAGCACCTATTATGTGCTCAGCAGTATGTCAGGTACTGGAAGCGCAGAGGGAGAATAGACAGACTCCTGCCCCCTCCAGGAAAGAGAATGGCCAGGCTCTTCTCACACTGTTCTCCACCTGCTCAGTAGTATAGACATTGCTCTTCTAGGGTGAACAAAGGAACAAAGAAACTTACTCAGGATAAGGAGGATCCCGACAGAGAAGAGGACCACAGCAAACACCAATCCTCCGATCCTCAGGGTCTGGTAGTCTGCCAAAGGAACAGGGTGAGAGATGGGAAAAGGGGAAAGGCCAGGGAGAGGGTACCTGTCCCTCCCCACCCAGTGCTGCCACGCTACTCACCATAATGAAAAGGATCCTTTTCTTTCTCCTGCTCAGGTGCTACAAAAATAAACAAGCCTGGTCAAGAGGAGGACAGCTACACATCCTGGTTCCCAAATATCTCACCTTGCCTCACAGGCCTCCCTCCCCACAAAGGGATTCCTGGGAAGTAGGGCCGACTGAGCAGTGTACCTAAAGACACATGGAAGGGTGGACAGGCTTGCTGGGCCTGCCTGAGAGCTCACAGCAGGTCCAGCTCAGAGCCCCAGTGAGAATCTGCATTCACAGCACAGACACATTTATGGCCCCTTTTTATTCATATGTCATCCCCCAAAGGCAGGTCTATTTTCCTCTTGTTGCAGATGGGGAAACTGAGACCGAGGAAGGACATGTGACTTGCACAAGGTCAGTCTAGAGACTGATGTGCAAGGTCTGGCTCCCAAAGTTCCAGCCAAAAGTCTAGAGGGGGCTGGTGGATTTAAAACTTAAAAGCAGACCCTGCTGGAGTCCATGGGGAGAGGTGGGCAGGCTGAATGAGGGTCTGTGAGTAGCTGCCGCCTTCCAGGACTTCCTCTGCTGACTAAAGGAAGGGGGGCGGTGGGCTTGATCAGATGTGTAGAACCTGAAAGCTCCCCAACCCTAGAATCCCAGTGGGCCTGGACCTTCTACCAGAAAGGGCCGTGGCTGCCATCTTGTCAGAGCCGGGTCCTATGGCATACTTACCACTGGCCAGGACAGCAGGGGCCAACAGGCTGCATAGAAAGATCAGCACCACCTCCATGGTGTCTGGGGACAGAGGGAGGAAAAACAATTCTCTGGATAGGAGGATCCCCACTCCAATCTTCAGCCTGACCAGGGAGAAAGAGCCCAGTCGAATTCCCAGCTCTGTGCTGAGCGCTCTCCACACGGTGAGAGTTCGAACAACAAAGCGGAAGTAGCTGACATTTATCAGACTCCTATGAAAGGCTCTGCTTGCATTAATTCAATTACTACAATCGACCCAATACAATGAGTAGGCACTGTGACTAACCCCTTTTGCAGGTGAAGAATCCGAGCTTAAAGAGGTTAAATGACACTCATGATAGTGAGTAACAAAGCCTAGATCCTAACTGAGCTCAGTAAGTCCTCCGCCACCTGCCTCTCTGGTGCCGAAACCATCAAGACCTAATGACTATGGAGATGATCCCATCTGCGGCCTTCTCTTCAGACCACCCTTCTGTGACCATCTCTAGTTCATTAAGATGTCTAGGACTTCCTGGCCTGGTTCTCCACAGCCAAGACCCACTGTTGGAAGTTCTTTCCTCTATTGGGTTAAATGGGTCAAGTAAACCAATGCCCCTCTGGTCCAGCCTGCCGGGTGGGGTGGGAGACCTGCTGTTTCCTGGACTCTGTGCGGTAAACCCTGAAACGCTGACAGCTCTCCCTAAGTTACCTCTCACGCTCTCACCTCTAATGTGTCCAAGCCAAATTTTCCCATAGGCTTTAGTTCATAATCTTCCAGAAAGGCAGTTTGATTGAACAAAGGGAGCATGGAGACCAGTTCTCTGAGTGTCGTCAGTGCCCCGGCCTCTCCTTCCCCCAGAAGATGCGTGAGGCTTCTGCTCATGAACTCATCAAACCCCTGGTCTCCAGGGTCGGTCGCCCAAGGATGGGTCATTTGCATGAAGGCAGAAGACAGGGACACTTGGTCCCTCCCAAGGGTAGATTTCAGTGGAGTTGTACACACCTCATTCCTGGGCTTAAAGGAGTATGGTCAAGAGCCAGAGAGGAAAAGGGGAAGACACCCACACCAGGGAAGCCCGAGGCTGTTTGCTCTTTTCCCAGTGGGGTGAGACTGGCAGCAGCCTGACCTCTGGACATCCGTCTCGTGGCCAGGACCATGCCTGCTCTGAGCGATCTCACCCTATCACTTTCTCCCGCGGAGCCAGCAGCCCCCAGCTGCCCTTCCCCTCTCAGCCACCAGAGGTCAGAACAGCTGCATCCAGAGTTAAGCTAAGGCACAGCCCTCGGAGTTAGAGGTGATCCAAGTGTTATTTTAAAGGCACTACTTTGCTTTTAATGCTACCTCCTTTAGTAATTGTATTTTTTTTTTTACATATTTTATATGTGTGAAAATATATATAACACACATATAATAATGCATAGTAATAAGATAAATGCCCATACACAAGTAACTTGAGAACTAGAACTTTACAAATACTGCTGTACTTACCTATCTTTTCCTCCAACCCATCCAACCCTGCTTAGCTCCCAGAGGTAAATAGTATCCTGAATATATATACTTTTAATCATTGCCTTGCTCCTCTTAAAAAAAAAAGGTTTTAAATTAAGAAATAATCACATACCACGAAATTCACCATTTGAAAGTGTACAATTCAGTGGCTTTTAGTATAGTCACAAAATTGTGGAAACATCATTAATTCCAGAACATTTTCGTCATCCCAAAAAGAAACCCTGTGTCCATTATCAGTCACTTCCATTCTCCCTTTCCCACAACCTCTGACAACCACTAACTTACTTTCTGTCCCTATGGATTTGCCTATTTTGGACATTTCATATATAAAAAAACAAAAAACATAAAATATGTGGCTTTTCACATCTGATTTCTTTCACTTAGCATTGTATTTTCAAGGTTCATCCATGTTTTAGCATGTAGTACTTCATTTCTTTTTATGGCGGAATAAGATTCCATTGTATGAATGTCCACCCCGCTTTTTTTCTAAAACATATCTAAATAAGATATTGTTTAATGGAGCTTTTTTGAGCTTTACAATTATGATACAGTCTTCTGGGATTGGCTTTTTTTGCTCAATATTATGTTTCTAAGATTCATCCATATTATTTATTACCTGTAACCATAATTCATTCATTTTCAATGTGGTGCAATATTCTGCTATGCCAGTAAATGATCATGTATTGGTCCCTTTTCCTATCAGTGGGTATCTTTTTTTTTTCTCCAATTTTGTGCTATTGTAAATGATACAGCTGTGAACATTTTTGTGCATGTTGCCCAGGGCACACATGTAAGAGTTCCAAAGGCAATGTTTTTTCAAATCTTTTTTTTTTTTTTCTTTTTTAAGCTGAGCCATCCTGACACCTGTTGGCAGCTCAGTGGCAGCTCAGCTCAGGCCAGGAATCGAACCGGTGACCCTGTTACTCAGCGCTCTCACTCTTGAGCAAGCTCTTAACCAGCAAGCCACTCAGCTGGCCCTCAAATCTTTTGACCACTACTTTCATAAGAAACATAAGAAACACTTTTTACATTGATATCCAGTACAAAGTTATATTTATGTACATCAGAAACAACAATATCACAAAACAATACTTTATCTTAAAATGAATGATACCTTCTGATATTTTCTATCCTACTGTGTCTTTTTTTTTAAAAGGCTAGGTCCAAAAATAAATAAATAAAATAATAAAATACAAAAGGCTAGGTCCATTAACAGGTCACACGCAGCAGTTTGAAAAATTATGTTCAAGAGATAGGCCTCAAGGCCGGTTGAGTGGCTCAGTTAGTTAAGAGCTCAAGCTCTGAGCAACAGGGTCACTGGTTCGATTCCCACATGGGCCAGTGGGCTGCGCCCAAGCTGAGCTGCCGCTGAGCTGCCAACAGGCAGCAGGATGGCTCAGCTGGTGAGAGCACGTGCTCCATACAACATGGTTGCCGATTTGACTCCAGCATGGGATGGTGGGCTATGCTCACCCACAAATAAGATTGAACATGGCACCTTGAGCTGAGCAGCCACGAGCTGCTGTTGGGTGGCCAGATAGCGACTGGGCTTGGAGCTGAGCTAGCTGCGCCCTCCACAACTAAGACTGAAGAACAACAACTTGGCTGTTCCCCTTCCCCAATTCCCCAACACTGTTCCTCTCCCCCAATTCCGCAATAAAATCTTTAAAAAAAAGATAGGTCTCAGAGTGAAGTCGTTGGGTATATAGTATGAAAATTGCCAACTTTACAAAAGAATTTCGAGTTGTTTTCCAAAATGGTCATCCTCATTTTAACATCCCACCAGCCACATATAAATGTTCTTATCACTCTACATACTTATCAATACTTGACATTGTCAGACTGCTTAATTTCTGCCAATCTAGAGGTATAAAATGTGGTCTTGATTTTAGTAATGGAGTTGGACTTCTTTCTGATTAGTTATTCCTGTTTCTTCACCAGTGATAATTCTTTCCTGTCTTTTGCTCATTTTTCAAATAGGTTGACACTATTATTCATTTCTTATTCAGAATACTAAATCTTTGTCATGAAGTATTGCAAATATCTCATCCCAATTAGTGGCTTGTCTCTTCACTTTTTAAAATTGTCTTCCAATGAACAGAAGAATTTCTTAATTCTATTGTAATTAAATGCAATGATGTTTGTGTTTTTATTTAAGATATTCTTTTGTCACACGGTCAGAATTTTCTTCTAAAAATTACAAAGTTTTGTCTTATACACTTAAATCTGTCTTCCATCCAGAATTGATGTTTGTGTAAGGTGTGAGGTAGGGACCTAATTTTTACTTTTTTCCATACTGATAACTAGTTATCCTAGCACCATTTGTGGACCCCTCCCTCCCTTTCCTCATGATGTACGATGCCATCTATGTCATATATCTGGTTTCTATCTAGGTGTGGGTCTGTCTCTGGGCTTCTCTTTGGATCTCTGGAAAATTTATTTATACCTGCATCAAAATCACAGTGTTTCAGTTACTACAGCTTTATAGTCATCTAAGGCTGTAGTAGAAAAGCTTCCCTCTTGTTTTTCTCCTCTTGGTCTTCTACCTCTTCCTTCAGGAATGCCTTCATTATTCTTGCTCTTATATATAAATTTTGCTCTTCTATATAAATTTTAGAATCAGCGTGTCAAATTCATCTAAAGCTGTTGGGATTTTCATTAGAATTGCAATGAATCAATGAATCTATCTATAGAACAATTTGAAAAAAATTGGCATTTTTTTCTGACCTTGAGTCTCCTATCTATAAATAGATCTTTTCACTTTTTTAGGTCCTTTTTTCAATTTCCTTTAATAAAGTTTTATAAATACTTTCATATAGGTCTTGTGTATCTTCTATTATTTATTCCTAGGCCCCCTATAATTTTAATTGCTATTTTAAATGCTATGTCTTGTGTATGTTTTCAATTTTTTGCTGGTATACAGAAAACAACTGATTTGTATATATTGATCTTAAATCCAATAATCTTGTTAAATTCTCTTATTTCTAATATTTTACCTTTAGATTCCTTTGTGTGTTCCCTGTAGACATAACATTTGTAAATGATATGGTACTGTTTCTTCTTTTCCAGTTCTTACACTGCTTATTTCTATTTATCTTATTCTTAGTCACTGCTAGGTCTTCCACTGAAATGTAGGATAGAAGCAGTGATAATGGCCTCTCTCGGCCTCTCTCTCCTCTCTCTCTCTCTCTCTCTCTCTCTCTCTCTCTCTCTCTCTCTCTCTCTCTCTCTCTCATATTTAAAAGCAAATTCCAGACATTATTATATTCTGTGTTTTTATACATCTTTATACTTCTGTACAATATGACATACCATATTTCCCCATGTATAAGACGCACCCTTTTTCGAAAAATTTGGGATCTAAAAACTGGGTGCATCTTATACAGTG